CATCTGAAGCAGGTGTTCAGACTGGAGAACCTAGTCACCGGCAGAGAGGGGACTAAGACATGGAGGTCTTCTAGACTAAGCACACAGGTCAGAGAGGGGTTAGAGGCTGCCAGAGGGTAAGACTGTACAATACAGCCAAGAATGGGAGCTGGAGTGTGGGGACTGGTGGCCAGGATGAGGAGAGCAGAAGTCCAGCTTAATATCTTTCGATAGTTTTTATTGTCTTTTTTTTTTTTGTTTTTTGTTTTTTGTTTTTCGAGACAGAGTTACTCTGTGTAGCCCTGGCTGTCCTGGAACTCACTCTGTAGACCAGGCTGGCCTCGAACTCAGAAATCCGCCTGCCTCTGCCTCCCAAGTGCTAGGATTAAAGGCATGCACCACCACAGCCCGGCTTTATTGTCTTTTTTTTAAAAAAGAGTTGATTTATTAGTATTATGTGTATGTGTGCTAAGAGGCCAAGGGACAACTTATTGGTGTTGTTGGTTGGTTGGTTTGAGACAGGGTCTCTCTACATAGCCCTGGTTGTCCTGGAACTCACTATGTAGAACAAATTGGCTCTGAATCTCTTGCCTCTGTCTCCCAATTGCTGAGGTTAAAGGTGTGTTCCCACTATGTTCAGCTTCAGAGAACACTGTTGTGAAGTCAGTTTTCTTCTTTTACTTTTATGTGGGCCCCCAGGACTAAACTCAAGTGGTCAGGTTCTCCCCAGCTTGAATGGTAAGCATATTACCCCTTTTGACAGCCCTGGTACTTTTTATTGCAACCACGGTAAGAAGCACGATTTTTTACCATGACTCCAAATACACACCTGAGTGTACGCACAGTAAAGCTGAAATTAAAAGACACAAAAGTAACAAGATATCATGCTTTGTGTGATGTGCCCTAATATTTTCTACTCTATTAAAAAAAAATTGCTGGTCTCAACCCACTAATTTACCATTTAGTTCCCCAGTAGATCACAGCTTGCAGCTCAAAGACTCAGCCTGACTTGGTCTTGGGGACATTAGAGGCACTCTGACGCCTTCAAACCTCTGCTCTGTGAGTGTTGAACTTTCCAGCCAGTGATCTGCAGACACTACGTGCAGTGCATATTTGGTAGCAGGCATGCTACAGAGTGGGAGAGCACAGAGCAGGAGAGTCACAGGCAGACCATCTACACAGTCACATGCTTCACAGCCATGACACCCGAGGACACTCGGCCACTGGAAAACACTGAAGACAGGTGGCACTCCATCCTGAACCTCAGAAAGCTAATAGATGGGTCCCTACTCCTCTCGGTTGGAATGCCCCGCCACAGAGGGCCCAGGATGTGGCTTCTCCACGTCCTTATTCTTCCTCTCAGCCCAGAACAGCACCAAGTCCAGAGCAGAATCAGATGGTGGTGCTCACCGGAAGAACGGGGTAGCTGGACTGGCCATGGATGCTACTGGACAGTCTTTCAGGACTCAGATAGGAGGCCTGGTTAGGGGGTGTCCTCAGGACTGGGGGTGGAGTGTCCCTTTATGCATTTAAAGCTGGTTCAGAGCTCACTCTGTTTGCTGAGTAAAAGCTTTACAGGAACTCAGAAATCTCAGGGATATTTCTGAGGCAGACCTAACAACCAAAGTTTGAGCTCCAGGACCCACAGGGTGAATCATTATTTCTTCTTCTTCTTCTTCTTCTTCTTCTTCTCCTCCTCCTCCTCCTCCTCCTCCTCCTCCTCCTCCTCCTCCTCCTCCTTCTCCTCCTCCTCCTCCTCCTCCTCCTCCTCCTCCTCCTCCTCTTTCTCCTCCTCTTCCTCCTCCCCTTCCTCCTCTTTCTCCTTCTTTGTTTTGTTTGTTTATTTTGAGACAGCCTCTCTTTCTTTCTACATAGCCCTGACTGAATGTCCTGGAACTCACTCTGTACACCAGGCTGGTCTCAACTTCAGAGATCTGCCTGCCTCTGCCTCCTCAGTGCTAGAATTAAAGGTGTGCACCATCGCTGTCAGGCAGGTGAAAGGGCTTGTTTAAAAAAGGCATTTCTCATAAAAAATTTGGCTTTATTTCTTCCAACTCCCTTATAAAGTTCTAAGGGGGAAGTAAGTCACTTTGAAGACATCCCAAGCTCTGATTACAATTGCTTCTGTGATGTCTTAGTTAGGCTTTTACTGCTGTGAACAGACACCATGACCAAGGCAACTCTTATAAGGACAACATTTAAGTGTGGCTGGCTTACAGGTCCATTATCATCAAGGCAGGAGCATGGCAGCATCCAGGGAGCCATTGTGGAGGCAGAACTAAGAGTTCTAAATCTTCATCTGAAGGCTGCTAGCAGAATACTGGCTTCCAGGCAGCTAGGATGAGGGTCTTAAAGCCCATGCCCACAGTGACATACTTACTCCAACAAGGCCACACCTTCTAATAGTGCCACTCCCTGGACCAAGCATATACAAACCATCACACATGAGGTCCTGTGGGAGAGGAGCTGGAGCCTGTGAAATCACACAAAACTCTTTCCCACTGCAGGACTCCTGGTCCTTGCATTCACTTGCCAACAGCTCCCCTGTGGCCTGCCCTGGGGCTTATACGACTCCAGAAGAGCTACGGAGGCTGCCGTATGGCCTGCCCACAGATTTGGGAAGCAGAAAAGCCACTGGGTAACAAGAATGGGTCAGGAAGACACAGAACTGGGCGACTGGGGTGAGTCAGCAGGGTGTGACGGCTGCCTCTGTTCGGTCCCTCTTAGAACAGTCAAGTCTCCTGCAGGCTGATGGCCACCTGAGGTTAACTGGGCACCTCTAGGGCAGGTGCTGCTTGAGGGTGACTGGCAGTCTTAGCTAGAAAGAGACAACCCACCACCACCACCCACCCCATCCCCCAGCATCTTGGTATCCCCCAGTACAGGCCTCTGACCAGAGCTTAAACTGACTGGGAAACAGCCTCCGCACGGAGGTCTCTTTAACCTGGCCAAGTGTCCACTAGGGACTTGGCCACAAAGGCTCAATGGAAGAGGGATTGTCATTGTCAACCCTGAGGGAGCAGAAGCATGAAAGAATCTAGATCCCCGTACTGCCTTAGTGAGCCAGTTTATGGGCTTCAGGCAGCAAGGATATTCAGTCTGCACCTCAGTCTGGAAGAGAGACTTTTTTTTTTTTTTTTAATCTTGGATCACCTTCTGAGGTGGCCAGAGATGATCAGAGAACTGGGTGGCTACTGACCGCATAGTGCTTTCCACTCAGAGAGCTGCCTGACACTTGTCCTGACTCACCTGCTCAGCTCTGGACTTGCCACTGAATCCAGGAGCCCTTGCCCGATGGCTGGCTCACTTGGATCGGCTACAGGAACGAGCAGAGGTATCAGAGTGCGCAAGGACGTAAAGGGCAGAGAGGAGGCAGAGCAGCCAATGAGACAGAGAGCTCAGCACAGCTTAGGTGACTGCGGTGGTGCAGAAGGGAGACCTCGCAGTGAGAGGGTACCCTAGGGACACTCTTTCTGCTTTGAGACCGTATACAGGACCAAGTGGCTAATAAGCCAACTCAGGCCAGGCTGCTCAGGGACCCCAGGTCTTAGGAGTGCCCATGGCCAAAGGCTTCACTGAGGCAGGGGGGAAGAGGGATGAGGACGGGGATGGTGATGGGGGGGACAGGAGGGATGAGGATGGGGGGATGGGGATGGGGAGGCCCTCACTATAGGCCCTCACAGGGTTAAAGTTCATTTTTTTGTTTTTTTTAATAATATTTTTTATTTATATGAGTACACACACTATAGCTATTTTCAGAAGAGGGCATCAGATCTCATTACAGACGGTTGTGAGCCACCATGTGGTTGCTGGGAATTGAACTCAGAACCTTTGGAAGAGCAGTCAGTGCCCTTAACCGCTGAGCCATCTCTCCAGCCCAGGGTTAAAGTTCATCATCACACATTTATCTTCTGCCGTCTCTCTGTGCAGCTTGATGCCCTTTATAATGCCCTGAAGCTCATATTACTCATGGTTCAACAACAAATCCAGGAGCCAGTGAGATGGTTCAGCCAGTAAAGGCACTGGCTGCCAAGCCTGATGACCTGGGTTCAATCTCCAATATGCACATGGAAGGAGAGGACTGGACAACACTGAATTCCACAAGCTGTCCTGTGACTTCCACATACGCTTTGCACAAACACAAATGCACACACACACACACACACACACACATGCAATAAATAAATGAAAATTTAAAATTAACAGAAACTAACAAAACAATAGGTCTAAACTGAAAAGGTCAAGGTGATCTCGCCTTCTCCTTACCCTGTCCAGGTCGAGTCTTGAGCACAGCATCCTGGGTATTCAGGCACTCGCTACCACACAAGGCGAGCACTGAGCCCAAGGCATTCCCCAGCTGCAGCCCAAACCACTCAAAAGCCCAGTGCCTTTAATCAAGTGGCATAAAGAGCCATAAAAACACGGGGTGGGGGGGGAGGATAAGAGCAGATCTGGAGGGGACCAGAGGTAACACAGCGGACTTTACACGACTTTACTTTACGAGAGGCAGAGTGAGAGGCCAAGGCACAGGAAAGCTAAGAGCCAAGGAGATGAGGATACCGAGATCCATGAGCACTTGACCTCTCTGGGGACATCCGGCTCCGAGCTGGATGACACTCAGTTCTGTGAGGCCCTGTTGTGACAGGGTTGAGAAGACGGAGGGCACACTCCAAACCTTGACAGAGCCCAACCTGGGGTGAGGAGCCACTGTTTACAGGAGGTGTCTGCCTGATGCTTCCTCCTGGTGGGGGTTCTGAGTGACTGTTTTGAGCATGCCTAGCTTGTGGGCCCTGCTCAGCACTGGGAAGTTATTTGAAGGCTAGCACCCGGCAGGGGGCAGGGCTGTTCAGTGGTTATCTACCCAGGCTCACTGCCTGCTCAGGTGTCTTGGCCCAGCAAACTCGAGCCTCCCTTGAGCCGACAAAAAAAAAAAAAAACTCCAAAAATAAACAAACAAACAAACTCCAGCTGTCTACACTCTTCAGAGGCTTGGGCAGTGGTAGTCATGCATGTGCACTCACCCACTATCTCGTTCTCCTCCAGATTGATAGTCTCCAGTGCAGGCAAGGTGGTCAGCTGCTCTGGGAAGTCTTGAAACTGGTTCCGGGACAGGTCGATGGCCCTGAGGTGCTGCAGGCTGCTGACCTCGTTGGGGAGGCGATAGAGGTAGTTGCCCTCCAGGCGTAGCTCTGCCACAGGATTGAAGAAGGGACAGTTAGGAGGAAAGGAAGGCCTTCCCAGAGACCACAAGAGGCCACCAGGCCTGTTCCTGGTACCCTGGCCAGGAGGACACTGAGAAAGATCCTGCCTCACAGAAAGGCCCCAAATGGATGACTCCAGGTCTGTTTACACCCACCACTGCCCAGGGCTGCTTCTGCCATTATTCCAGCAGAGGTATTCCACTTTGGCTGTGTAGGAGGGTCTCCTAACAGAAGCTGGGGCCCAAAGACACAAGTATGATGGCTCCCTCAGACCTTGTGATTGTGTCAGGATATGCCCAAGTGTCATACTGCTGTCGGAAGCCCGGTTCTGTCATGTGTCCTTATTCTCCACATGGCTACTACCAACCAGATGTGAACAAGTTCTTCCCCTGAAGTGGTCACTGCAAAGCTCATCAGTGGTCTTTGAGAGGGACCCTAATGAGTAGGCCCAGACAGCACTGAGAGATGGACCAGGCCAGAGGCTGAGGGACAGGGACCAGGCCAGAGGCTGAGAGATGTAGATCAGAGCAGAAGCTGAAGCTGAAAAAGCTTCACAGAAAAGTCTCCTGGGCCAGGCATCACGGTATACCTTTAATCCCAACAGGATTAAGAGAGGAGACAGAGGCAGGTGGAGCTCTGTGAGTTCAAGGCCAGCCTGGTCGACAGAGTGAGTTCCAGGATAGCCAGAACTGCCTAGAGAGACCCAACAATCAATAACAGCAACAACCAAAAAGAAAGAAAGAAAAGAAGCAAGCTCCCACCATCGGCTGTTTTCGAGAACTCCCTGCTGCTCCATGCTGCACTTGAGATTTTTCCTGCCTTTTAGTTCTTTAAGTCACAGAAAAGCAAACCCCATCAAGATCCTGAGATGGCGACAGGAACATAAAGCAAGGAAGTAATGACCACAGACAAGAGGAAGCAGCTTCCTGCGAGGGGCGGCGGGGATTCTGAAGAATTGGAGGAGATGCTTCACACAACGCTGTGGACGTTCTATAACTCGGCTAGCCTGAGAGGTGCCTATTTTGCGATGACTTACTTATTAGCTCTGTTCATGTCATATGTGTCTCTGTCTTTCTTTCTATACCATGAAAACCAATAAAAGTATAAGGCGGGTGTAACTATGTGGCCATAGTATGACCACTGGAAATACAGTTAAATAAAAGAGTGCAGTACAGGAGGAAGGAGGAGGCTCTCACAGGGGCCCTCATAGAGGAAGAGGCAAAAAACAAACAAACAAACCAAAAACCAAGCTAGGAGGAACAGGGCAGGGAACACACTGTAGGGCTACGGCGGGACATCAAGAGACCCTGCTCAACCCCCATCCTGGCTACTCTGGCTGACTTAGGCATTATGTCCGTTTAGATCCTAGTTTCCTTATCTGACAGAGAGGTCGGGACATGCCTGCCTTGTGGGGATGTGGAGAGCTATGGACAGTTCACACAGAGAAAGCACCAGGAGAGGGAGGGAATAGGGTCTCTGTTTCTGGAGTGGGGACAGGCCATTCCGGGAACAAGACTGTAAGGCCATCCACAGGTCATCTTACAGTAGGCTATTTGTCTGTGATACAACTGTCTCAACTCTATCTGGCCCAAAGGAAATGGAGACCTTGAATTGTCACACCAAGTCCCTCAGTTCTTCTACCCAGAGTCAAGTTTGTGGATATGTGACCGACACAGCTGCATAGGGTCCCATTCCTTTGGAGTGGAATGACGACATGCTACATTTTGTCTGTTTTGAGACTCAGCCTCATCATAGCCTGAGCTGGCCACAAACTCAAGATCTTCCTGCTTCGGGCTCCCAAGCTCTGGGATTACAGGGGTGTCCCAGCATGGCTGGCTTCTATGTGTCATCTTGAAAGCTTTCATCATTTCATCATTATACTTGGCTCTGTTTTATAAGCAGCTCTGCGTTGTGATACCTGTGCTCACATGTAGGTCTGCCTCCATCTCCGGGCTATCTGCAGCCTCCCTTTCCCTCTCCTTTGGGCCCCGTGATCTGCCTGACCTGTGCTAGGCTTTGCTCTGAACTTCCTCCAGCAGGAAGCATCAGCCAGGCTTGTGTACCGTGTGTTGTCTCAGGCTGGGACACAGTGGTTGTCCCTTATCCCACCCCTACCCAGGGACCTTGGGCTGCAGGACTGTAGTGTACCCAGTGTGGGTGGCCAGTTAGAGACTGAATCTTGGCAGAAGTGACCCTGAGCCATCCCTGCCCCAGATGTCAGGTACCAAACAGGCCTTGATGCCCAGAGTTAAAAATGGAGGGATGGAGCTATCTGTCTGCTCAAAGGTGGGGGCGAGGGGGGGCCTCTCTGTTAAGGGAGACACCTGGTCAGTGTGAACTGTGGTACTCTAGCGTCTGCTAAGAGCAGAACAGCGGCTATGAGGCCTGACTGTGCACATACTGGCATCTGGCATCGTGGGTGGTCCAGGGCAGGGAATGGCCTACTTCTGTTTTTCCTTTTTACCTGCCTAAGCCTGTCTCAAATGGGTCTCTTTGGCCCACTCACAGCACCTCTGGAAGCCAGTGATAAAGCATAAGTTGTCTAATTCCAGGCTTTTGCGCGTGAGCTAACTGCCGTAAATGCACTTCAAACAGGTTTTGTGTGACATGAAGATGAAGGGTGTGACTCATCCTAAGTCCTTATTTTTCCTTACTTTGACGTTAACCAGAAAATGAAAGGCAGCACAGCACGGCAAGCTACGTGAGTGGCAGCCAGTGAAAGCTTTCTGTTTATTTTATAGCAAGTCCCTCAGAACCGGAGTCTAGCACTCCATTTCTGCAGCCAGCCCAGCCCCTGAGTGCTCCATGTTCTCAAAGGGCTCCTGTGATGCAGGACTTGGGTTAATGGCCTGCCCTAAGATCCGTATAGCCCACCTTAGGGTCTGCCACAGTCAGGGTTCAGAACCTTGTTCCCTTCTGCAGGGCCTCTGTACACTGTATATATACACACACACACATATACACATACACATGCACGCATGCACACATATACCCCCATGTATATACCACACACACATACACACATGCATATGCATGCATACACACACACAGAGGCATCACACACCCACAGATATACACACACAGACACACACACACACGTACATATGCACATGCACACACAGAGGTACCACACACCCACAGATACTCTCTCTCACACACACACACACACATACACACGTGTGCATGCACACACAGAGACACCACACACGGATACACACACAGGTGCACACACACATACACACACGCCACACCCACTAGCTACACTGTAAATCCTCTGCTCTGTGATGCTAAGGCAGGAACTTCACATGATTCTTTGTTTCTAGCCCAGCCTCCTTCCAGACTCACATGGTCACTCAGTAAGTATCCAATGAGTGATGGGAGAGGATGTCACATGGTGCCCCCAAGTCTCCTCTCTTTGGCGACATCTTGAACCCCAGGTCCAATTAGTAGATTCCAAGGCCTGCTCCATGCGACCAAAGATCCCTTCAGCAGCTGGATTCACGGATACACTACGCCTGAATCATAAAAGACTCTCTATCTAATGGGGTTCATTGTCAGGCATCCAGTACCCAGGAGGCTCAGGAAGGAAGAACACTGAATTCAGGCATCTGGAATCCCATGTCTCCCAAACTCTGCTGTCTGGATAACGGTTACCAGGTTACAGTGTTGAGGCAATGTTAGACATCTAGCCTACTGTGCCCTGGCCAAACAGCGTCATCTCATGCTGAAAAGGCTGCTGCCTTGGGGTCCTCACACTTACAGTTTGATTGATTGAGTGTTTTGTTTTGTTTTTTCGAGACAGGGTTTCTGTGTAGCCCTGGCTGTCCTGGAACTCACTCTGTAGACCAGGCTGGCCTCGAACTCAGAAATCCACCTGCCTCTGCCTCCCAAGTGCTGGGATTAAAGGCGTGCACCACCACCGCCCGGCCGATTGATTGATTTTTTAATTCCTTCCCTTTCTTCTCCTCCCCCTTTCCCTTTCTTCTGTGGTGATGGCATCTCCTGCAGCCAGGGCTAGCCTTGCATTCATCAGGGAGCTGAGGATGACCTTCATCTCCCGACTCTCCTGTGCTAGAACTACAGGTGTGTATCACCACACCTCATGTATGGTGTTGGCAATCAAACTCAGAGCTTTGTGCAAGCTAGGCAAACGTTTTACAAATGGGCTACCTTGCACCCCACCCCACACACGTGGAGGCAGGGTCTCACTTTGTAGTCCTGCCTGTCTGGAACGTGCTAGCAAACCAGGTTGGCCTCAAACTGTGTGTGGTCCTCTAGCCTGAGCTTCCAGAGTGCTGGGGATACAGGAGGTCTTCAGTTCCTGCTTTCTACAGTGTTCTCTGCTGTGTATGTGCCAGACCTGCTGCCTCGTTTGATGTATGTCTTCACTCAGGCAACACCACATCTAAAGTGGGACCCCCTCCCCTCCATCAGCACCCACCTCTGGAGAGCCACCATTTCCTAAGTGTACTTGTCTGTCAGCATTCTGTCTGCCTCCTGCCCTGATGGCATAAACTGCCCTAGGAAAGCATCCCAAAGGCTCCAGTCCGCAGTGAGCACTGGATAAGGCTAGGCAGGTAAACAAACGGGCAGGGAATGGATTTCAGCATCACCCGCACAACCCTACAGCATCTTGGCTGGCTCTGAGTGCATCACCGCTCTTCCTTACATTGATTTGTTCTTTTCATCAAAGAGAACAAAAGAATAACTATTATTGCTTGCTATAAAAAGGACCGTTGTTCAAGTCTTACTGAATACTGTCAGATAAAGACTCCAGGCACCAGGCAGCCAACACAGAGGATGGTGATGAGGTCATTGCTCAGGGGCGGCTCCCTGGAGCATTTCATTCATTCCCAGGGGAGGGTGAGCCCACCTTCTCTGGTTCTCAGACTACTCTGTGCTGTGTGATTCTGTATGCTGCCCAGCTGTTTCTTCATCTCTCTTCGGCCAGTGAAGCCAGAGAGGCCACGTAGGAATTGGCCCTGCAC